ATCTATCTATCTATCTATCTATCTATCTATCTATCTATCTATCTATCTATCTATCTATCTATCTATTGTCTGCTGCATATTACTCTTCCTTTTCAAATGATTTATAAATAAGTTATGGGTGGAAGTGAGATATCTTAAATAAAACTATCATAAAAATCAGTGGCTAAAACAATAGCAATAACACTTAGACTTATATACTGCTTTACAGTGCTTTACAGCCTTCTCTGAGCGGTTTACAGAGTTAGCATATTGCCCCCAACAATTTTGGGTCCTCATTTTACCTACCTCGGAAGGATGGAATGCTGAGTCAACCTTGAGCCTAGTGAGATTTGAACTGCCAAATTGCAAGCACCAGCAGTCAGCAGAAGTAGCCTGAAGTACTGCACTCCAACCACTACGCCACCGTGGCTCATACAATACTTGTTTTTCTTTTAATGACCCTGTAATTCCTTGCATTGGAGTGGAGTCAGGGAGACTGAATGAAGCTGAGCATTTCCTGGCTGGATGCCCTTCCTGACCACCACAGGGAGCTTGCAACAGATTTCTTTGTGCCCAGAGAAAAGAGAAATATCTGCTGCTAAACTCAGCCTCCTGATATTGAGGAAAGAGTTCCATCTCTAGGCCACCACGGCGTTCAGCTAAAAACAATAAATACATATTCTAAAAACTCTGTTTATTTTAAGAAAACAAAACTAAAACAAATACGCCAATTTAAATGGTATATAACGGAATATTTCTTGCTCTTCTGACCTTAGCAAATAGGAACATCTTCAGTGGTTTCTGAAAGAAAAATGTGGGCAAACAAGCTTTTTTCTGACTTATATAATTGGAGAGCTGTTATTTATTTACTTCAATACTTTGTTTAGGGAATTGATCTTTCTAAACTGGTGGAAGATTTCTTTTCGATGAAGGAGGAGGTCTTGGCTCGGGACTATGACTTGGGATTTTCAGGGAATTCTGAAGATGTTGTCATGCACGCTATCCATTTGTTGGGAAACTGCATAACCATCACAAACACCAGTCGGAATAATGAGTTCTTCATCACTCCCACCACAACTGTTCCTGCTGTCTTTGAACTCAGCTTTTATAGCAATGGGATACTGCATGTCTTCTTCAAAGAGGCTGTCATCGGTATGTTCTAAAACTGTCCTTACTCTGATGCCTGAAATACTCCCTGCCTAATGTCGCTGTTACTATTTAAGAGGTTGTGTTTGACATATAATGCAGTAACTTAGGAATAACTTTGAATATATCTTCTCTTTTGCTTCAGCATGTAGTCTTCATGCTTTACTGAACAAAAGGCATAGAAATGGTATCAGTGGGATTCTACCCAATGTGGTTAGTCAAGAACAACTGGTCCGAAAAGCTGCCAGCCTCTGTTATTTGCTGTGTTATGAAGGAACTGTTTCATTGGTAAGTGTTGGGTACAGATTCATTTGACACATATTCTGTTGCTACCATCATATCATTTGTATTATGCTACAGTACTGTGGGTCAAATGGAGGTGTACTCGAGTTCTTAAA